TATTTCGCAGAATATTGACATTGCAATATGTAAAAAGTCAAAATATGAATGAATCAAATTAAAATATAAATAATTACAAAAAATATCTTTATTTATATATATTTTCCACATCACTTCTATTTGTTGGAGAAGAACCATTTATTGTTTATTAGAAATTTATAGTAAAGTAGTAAATTACGAAGTATTAAAAAATGACTAAAAAAAATTAAGAAAATGATTTTAAAAAAAGTGCGTGATTGCTGATAAACGAACTCGGAAAATTATAACACGACAATTCCAAATTTAATCAAATTCACTGTGAATCTACTAATATTGTTAATATTTTGTTTATTGGGATATTTAATGCTTCGAAAAAAATTAATATTAATACGGTAGTTTTGAATTATAAAATTTAACTTTGCTTAATAATTATAACTCATATTGCATTAATATAAATCATAGCGCATTGTCTTAATATATAGAATCTGATTGCGAGTGAAAAAATCAGGAATAAATGGTGATAGACAGTTTTAATATAATGTTTAACCATCATATAATTATTTTATTTTTCTTTTTGATTTTTTTACCTATACATACTTTTCAAACGGATTGTCATTTGAAAAATTTTATATATGATTCAGTTGTGCTATTATATAATTTTTAAGTGAAAAATTATTCTTGTCTAGGATGGATAAAAACGCTCAAGACAATCGTGCAAACCAATGCAACCCAACCCACACCCCGACTGGGCCCGGGCATCAAGCGGGTTATCAAGGATCAGGCACCAAACCCGACCTTGATAATCATTCGAGGCAGTTAGATCCCAAAAATCCGAAATATCATAAGTAAAGGATATGCATATTTCGCAGAATATTGACATTGTAATATGTAAAATGTCAAAATATGAATAAATAAAATTAAAATATAAATAATTACAAAAAATATCTTTATTTATATATATTTTCCACATCACTTCTATATATATTTTATCCTGTTCATAGTTTTTATTCCTATTCCCAGGTTAACCATTTAGAATTATTTATTATAAAATTAAACTACACCATAATGTAATCGTTAAACCCATTTTATTCTTAAATAAGGAATGTCATTATTTAAAAGCTTATTCGTACATAAAGAAAGAATATTAGTTTTGCAATTATTAATTTTTCAGCATATATCGCTTAATGCTACGTCGAATATCAAAGAAAATAATTGATTGCTAATACACGAACATTTAGATTGAAAACGTGTAATACTTAAAATAAACGACGAAATCATTATCTACTAGGCTGCTGAATCCAGTATCCCCAAGTAGTGAAAAATTTGTCATCTTTTTCTTCGGTCGGGCCGCGAAACACTCTTATTTTAACACGTGGAATGTCATCTAAACAAATACTTCGTAGAAAGCGACTCTAGCGCTAAGCCACGTTTCTGCTGACGGTGAAATTTGACACGCGTTGAGGACAGCCTTCAACGCATGTTTGTAGTCACTGACATCTTCGTAATACAGTCCCATTCTATTATAATATTGCTATATTAGAAAAAAGAAAATAAAAAGTATAAAAGGCTCAAATGATTAAAACAATCAATTAAAATTAACAGGAGCGCGAAAAGCCAGAATGCAAGATCTTCGTGCGTTCCTGTTAATTGTTAGTTGATTGTTATGTTAGAAATAGCTTGTCTTTTTTATCTCTCTTAACTGCTTTATGCAATATACAAATTAAATGATCTCACCTCATCTGTACGAGATGCGAATCATCCGGTTTGTTTTAATACCGCAATAGCGAATTCGTAGTAACGAATCGCTTCCGCAAAATTACCCTTTTGAAAATAACAATGCCCTGTCAAACTGCTTACCGAATAATT